CTTTTACACTATAATCTCATTCTAATTACCTCTAGCAAGTTGATACATTACTGGCGACGATCGATTTGGCTTAACCGCTTGCGCTCGGCATCGGCAAACTTGCGGCGTTCGGATTGTGTCATCAAGCCTGGTGTGCGCAGAACCTTCGCATTCATTACGTATTTTTGTGGATCGTACGTTGGCGTATTGTACTGTAAAATGAAATGAAAACTTTAATGCAAATTCAAGCCATTTTTCAAACGGCAACAACCACAGAATGATTGCTTTTATTTCAATATGATGTTCATGCCATTTCCAAGGATTGAACAAAAACAAAGATCGCATTCACTTACATGATCCCAATCTTCATCGTCATCGTTTTTCGGTGGCGGTGGTTTTGGTCGTGTTGTCGGTTCAACAGGTGGTACCTTTGGTCCATTACCGTTGCTCACGCTGTACACATATCGATCGAAATTCTCACGCGATGGACACTCTTCCACGTGTGCTTATTGCATTAAATAGAGTTAATAATCAGCAGAAAAAAAGAACACATGTAACAAACAAAAACAAATGAATTTTTTTCTGCGGATATACTATTTTATTGATAAACTCTATATTATTCACAGGATTCCCAACACCTTTGAATACATTCTACAATCCACAAATCTATGCATAGATAATAAAGTAATTGCAAAGCTTTGCATAGTATATGTGATAAAATACGAAAAAAGTAAAGAAAAAAATATTGAAAAAAATTCGTCCATTTTTCTGCATGTGGTTGCAAAAGATCCAATGCATTGGCAATGGTGCCATCGACATTTTCCAGAAGCTGAGCGGTTATTGATTTATTTACGCTAGTATCTGAAGAAAACACATACATATCAATATTTGACGTAATTTTCTTTTGAGGAGCAGACGAAGGTTAAATTAATCGAATTAAATATATGTACCAAAATTTATATAAATATTTAACCTTTGATAAAAACCTTTGTATGGTTTGGTTTCTAATGTTTGCTTCCAGAAATAAGTTTCGAAACCTTGTTTGAAATTGTTGTCCATCTCTGGAAAATAAGAAAATGATAAAAAAAATATAAGAATTCGTTCAATTCGGATACATTGTTCATGACACATTCATTTCTGTGGGTACTATGCAATGATTTCCACTTCGATTGACTAATAGATGATGACATTAGTTTGCGCATTCAGTTTAAGGACGTTTCCAATCAGTGACAAGCACTTGGCACACGCATAAACACATGCATAATCATCACATCATGTCCGATATATAGGAGTCAGTTTGAGAAATGACATGAAATCGCGAGAAATGTTAATAATTTATCTTTTTTATTTGAAACTAGTGCCTTTCTTATGCAGCATTCTGCGTAAAAATTGAATTTATGTGGCTTGGCCGAATACTTTTGGACAAAATGTTCCAAATTCTCGAAATTGGAGTGAATCCATAAGAAAACATTCTAAACTAAATAAATAAACAAAAATAAGAACGATTTTCATCGTTTATGATGTGAAAAAATCAAAGTGAATTTCTTTTCCGATAGCTCTATGGGAAGCCGATTTATGATTTATTGCATCCACTTTTTAGGTAAAAATGTAAACCAAAATTTATTCAAATTATAATTAAAATATATTCTGCATGGAAATAAATAAACAATTTCAAAATATAAGCTCTCTTCGAAGTCTATTTCCACCGCAAAATCATTTAAAATCATATAAAATTACAAAAAAACCGACTGTCTATAAATTTAGAAAATTCATCATCAAATAATATTTTTCGGTAAATTTACATTGCAAACGACTAGAGCCAAGCTTTTATTTGGGTGAAGGTGGTGGAGTTGGTCGATTGAAAGTATTCGCAGCCCAGTGGCAAATTCGAAAAATTACCCAAATTAACCAATTATAAATCGACTTTTTTAGCACTACATGAAATGTAGAGCTACTAATCTGCTTTTTTGTCTAAATACTTTTTGAGTGATGAAACAAATTATGGTGAATTTGAATTTTATGCTCATATTTTTTATTTAATTTAAAACAGATGCACTTACGACAAATAAGTGCACAACATCTTAAATCGCTAATCAATGCGCCAAAAAATAGTTTTTAATCCTTTGTCTCTTGACAAAAAAACGTGTGGCCGTCTCCGGTTTCTTCATCGATCAACATCGACTACTGAAGAAATCATAACCGACTTTAAATTTAATTACTGTGTATGTGGGAGCGAAGTGGAGAGATATAAAAATATATGATTTGTTGACAGCGTTTGCAAATTGTGAGCGCTGAATGAAAAAGAAAATCAAATTGCTGTTGACAAAAATCCATTTGGAAATGATTTTAACGAACTATGATTTCCACTCAAATAATGATGAAATAAATTATGTACACACCATCAAATTGCCAATAATCGCATATTGATTACTTGCTTTTTCTTGTTTATTGTATCAAATAAAAAACTTTACTAAAGTCAATGCTCGTGCCGAAAGCGAACACAAAACAGCTAATATCAATTTTAAAAATCATTCCGAAGCGATTTTAATTCGCCTATTTTGCATTCATCTAACTAGGTTATACATCGCTCCGAAATGATTTTTTTTTAAATTGATATCAGCTGTTTTGTGTTCGCTTTCGGCACGAGCATTGACTTTAGTAAAGTTTTTTATTTGATTTCCACTGCCACCGCCGACGTCGCTACATCACAAAGTGGTAAGTTGCACGACTCACTTTGTTGGGGCTCACGGAAACTATTTTCTTTGAAGTATTTATTTTTCAGCGGTGTGAGGTTTCACAGGGTGAAATGTAATACATCTATTCTTAAAGAACTTTTGCCCCACAATCAAGCATTAACATTTGTCGGGTGAGGAGTAGTATTCTATCCGTTTTAGTAGGAAAAAAACCGCTTTAAAGGATTTAGTACACATTTAGAACATTTTAGTATTTTTTAGAACATAGCTGCTTTTGTATTACGTAGATCTTCAACTTTGCCTCAGACACTAGTTGTTTATCTCCTCTCTATAAACGGCGGCATGGAGAATTTTTTTTTCCGAAATCTATTTCCAAGGGGGGAAAAATATTTGGAAAAATATTTCAGAATTTTTTTTTCTCAATAATTGACAAAATTCCATTATGTTTAAAAAGACAACAAATTTTCCAACATTTCTGATACCTACATCGTACTTTTTGGTAAATTCTTAGTCAAGCTATTGAATTTTTTCGGTTTTTCTAAGAATTTTGTACTCCATTTTAAACGATGAATACACAATTCAAAATCTTTGGCGTAGAAGAATTTTTTCCTTGTATTCATGGATATTTTCACATGAAACGATTAAATTGACCGATAAACGATTTTTTTTGTAAACCGAGTTTCATAGCCGGAGTTAGCACTAAAGTATTGGGTATATTTCCGAATGGTAATTTTCCAAGAAAAGGTATGATTTGGTTTTAGTAAATGAAAAGATAAGAAAATTTCTGACATATTGAATACCTAGATTCCTAGTTTTGGTTCAAAAATAGTCATTTTATCGAATTTAATCGATTTTTTTGAAATTTTGAGTGATTTTTTTTTTCTAAGTTCTCATCAAAAACTTCATTTCGGGAGGTTTTTGGGGTCGCTTTCAAGGATTTTCATAGTTTATAATTTCACGCGAACCAAGTGTTTCATTATTTTCCGACAATTTTGATTCAACAGAACCTGTCAAACGGTAACGCTCTCTTATTTCGGCACGTTAAATAAGGCTTAAAATGTCATATAAATTGTATAAAAAGCCACGAAAAGGTCAATATATATATACATTTGATACACCAGTAAGCGAAGATCAAATTATGACAGCTGTCACCGAAATAGTCAATCAACAACGGCGACACGACGTATATGTGTTAGGTGGAGTCCACGGTGATAAGTCTGGTCAAAATTGGAGATGGTACAATGATACAGATTCCTTGCGTTATAATGAAGATTTGGTCAATGAGAGTATTGATAAGTTGTTCGAAGAAGATTTGGCAAAGTTGAAACACCATGCAAACCAAAGAATAAGCGCTGTATGGTTTGAAAACCATCCAGAACATACCAGGCTGAAGAGCCATACCAATTGAGATGAAATCATTTCCCAAATCGTTGTCGGTTTGTTGAGTTGCTGATGCATCCCTTTGATTTCGTTTTTCATTTCGTTTTTCATTTCGATTTTCATTTTTTTGATTTGATCGATCACTGAAATTTCCTTCAATTCTAAAATTGATCCGAACAGCACATGTTGAATCACAGGGAATTCTGCAAGCAACTGCGATAGAGAAAGGATTCGTTTTCATTTTATTTTTTCTAGGTTAACAAATTGGAATTCAATTGACTCAATTTGCTTGAAATAAAAATCGTAAACTATGTCTAAAAATGTTTTATGCAAAATAACTGTGTAATATTCCATCATTTACCTCTTTTTCATAATTCTCGATGAGAATGGAATTTATTTTTACCCACGAATAAACGCTGCTTGTGCTCCACAACGGATTTGAATATTCGGCAAAACTATCAGTATTCACCTGTTTATGAAATAAAAATTAAAATTCCATGAATCGAATTCAACGAAATTTTTAAGCACATTTTGCGTGGCTCAACCTGTCGAAAGTGATCAATACATCCAATGACGTAGTATTCATTTTTGAATCGCCTGATGACATTGGTTTCAAGCGAACGATTTGGTTCGAACGGTTCCTTTGCACAAAGCTGAGCGCTTCCCCAAATAAATGGTAAGTATTGATCGTCATACATGCTTGAAACACCATGACTACCAGCGGTTTCCATGCTATATGTTAACTGCAATCGACGTACAACTTGTAAATATGCATTGAATATTTTCAATCCAACACATAAATTATCACTTTCGTCCAATACATGGATTTTATAAAGTGCACACAAAAACATGATGAATGCCAATTCATGACTGGGTCCATAGTCAATTCGTGTCGCATTACCAAATGATTCAATAAAATATTTGCTGACTTCAATGAGTGCATGATGAGGTATCACTGGTAATTCTTTTTTTAGTAATTCCGTTGAGTCACTTCTCATCTTTTCAAACCAATCACGATAGGCTTGGTTGCCGAGTGTTTGTGGTGTTTCATCTATCATTTTATTCAAAGCATCGAAGATATGTAGTAAATTATCTGCAATTGGTGACGGTATCAATTTTGTGCTCAATTTCTTTCCTTGAACTGCCTCATTTATCATGCTGATGAAACTAATGATATCATAATAAGCGTTTGATTTCTTCCAAAGAGCCATATCCCGCATCGATTCGACAGATGGCACCGGTTTGACGTATTTACGCTCTGTTCATCAAACAGAAAATGTTCTTAATTTTCTCTTCTTCTCTCAATAAATTCTTATATTTACCATATGATGTTGATGCTTCACCCTCAGACATTTTTGCCTGTATTTTTATTGCTTGAAAAAAAACTATACTGGAGTCGACGCAAAAGAGTTTTGACTCTATATTTAACGATAAATTTCTTCTGTATAAAATAATATATTGCGATGCATACACAAATGTCACTGTCAACTTCTAAACCCACAGTGAGCGGTGCGAGAACTGTGTTATTCATATTTGAACGTCACTGTGATCCCTATTGGAAAAAAAAAGGTTCACTGAATGAAATTGATGGAAACCAATTCAAAGTGTTTGTTAATTTTCTGGTCGACCTTTTATTTAAATAGACCAATTACAAATAAATACATGGAGTTGTTCCGTTTCATGGCATTTGCATGTTTGGTACATGACATTTTTGTTCTTTTAATTTTGCATTAGACTGGCAATGAAACTGTTGCT